TGATTCCACTTATAAGTCATCCTGGAAAAGACACAACTAAAGAGACGGACAACCGGGCAGTGGTTGCCAAGAGTGTGGGGAGGTTGAATGATGGAGCACAGGGATATTTACGGGGATCGACTCTTCCGTGTGGTACTGCCAAGATCCATACATGACATGCATCTGTCAAAGCCCAGAGAAATCTATCGCACAAAGAACAAGCCTTAGTGGATGCAAATTTTAAAAGTCCATTTAGAAGGCTGGAAAGGATATATTCCAGGCGAGAATTCAGACTGTGATAAGAAAAATCAAACTACCTCAAATGGATGAAACCTTTTCACTGATTAGGGTAGGGGGGCAGGCCCTGACACAAGTCACTTAGGAAATGAATGGAGATGGCAGGACTCGAGACAAAATAAACTGTGTGTTGGCCTTGTATTCTTGTTGCTCAAGTTGTTTTTCTGCAGAATACAAGCTAATTTGGCAAATGGAGAGTGGGCACCAAGCTTTTCGCGCTTGGAATGAGAGGTTATAGACTAGCAAGGGGAGAAGACAAGCATGAACATGTGGTCCTGGATTAGGAGTGGACATGTCAGTGTGAACTCAAGTTCAATTTAATGTAAGTACAGGTGAATGCACTTAGATATATTTCTGCGTGTATGTATAGATATGTATATGCACTTAGATATATTTCTGCGTGTATGTATAGATATGCCCTTGGTCTGTCAGTGAAGTGGGCCTGCAAGCAGTGATATCCAGTAGCAGTGTACACAACTAGCATCCAGATCTTGGCTTCTAGCATCATTCTCCAAGAAAAAAGAATCAGGGCTCCTTAGAGAAATCGCTGAATCTAGGCCTGGGGTAGGAAGGATACAAGATGAGCCTGGGCCATCTCATACTGTCAGAAAGAAAGGAAGTTCTCAGCAAACACAGCATTTATGGGATAATATCAAAGGGATACAGGAGTCCACTAAAAGAGTCCCCGGTGCTTTAGCCAGAAGTATAAAATAAAAACCTGTGAGTCTAAACTAAAGGTCTTTATCTAAATGGTTATCCCCCATACAGAAGAATTCCCGATAATTTATACAGATAATGTCCCCTCAATGAGGTGTAGTCTACCTTCACACTCCTTATGGAGTGTGTGTGTGTGCATATTTTCAAAGAGAAATTGTACAAGTAGTGTATATTTTTGTTAGTGCCATGGAGTTGGCTGGACTCATAGAGAACAACAAGTGACTGCTTGGTCCTGCACCATCCTGGCCATCATTCTTCTGTTAGAGTCCATTGTGGTTAATCCAGCTTGTCGAGGGCTTTCTGTCTTTGGCTGTCTCTCTACCAAACATGCTGTCCTTCTCCAGGGACTGGTCTCTCCTGATAACATCCTCACCCCCCTCTGAAAAACTCACCCCCCAAAAAAACTCCCTGCCATCAAGTCAATACCTAATCATAACAACCTCTAGGTCTAAGTAGAACTGTCCCTGTGGGTTTCTGAGGCTCTGACTCTTTACAGGAATAGAAGTAGGGAACCCATGGAGAAGTCTGAGGGGCAGGCCCCAATGCCAACTACTTGGACAGCTCCCTCTCCCCCCAGAAGAATTTACTTCAGAGGACAGCACTGAAGCTACAGCTCAGGGAGAGGGACATTATCTGATCAGAGCGTACAGGAGCAAATGAAGGGGGAGGAAGAGAGAGTGGAGCACATCCTGGCCCACCAAGCCTTGAGGATAATATCCCCGCTCAGAGCAGCCAATGCGCAGAGAGGACACGACATCCCTCATTGAACCATAGCCTGACAGGGGACAACACTGGAGACACAGTGTGGGAATTGTGCCCGATCTGATCCCACCACACCGAGCCATCTAAGGGTGTGCAACAGAACAGCAAGGGGAGCAGAGCAAGGACGTCCCGAGGGAATACCAAAAGTAGACTTTGGGGCCAGGGCGTGGCACCCCATCAGACTGGACTGGAAAACACCCCTAAAGGTCAACAAACAGACCTTGAACTATTTACAGGCTTTCCTCTTCTGTGTCATTGGTTTTGTTGTTGTTGTTGTTTTCTTTTCTTTTGTTGCTTTGTCTTGCTCTGTCCTGTTTTTTGTGCATATTATTATCTCTGCAGATCTATCTAGATAAAATAGGTGGGATAAATAAGCTGAAGGAGAAAACAACAGGACCAACGATTGGGGTGGGGCTGGGAACATGGGAGAGGGGGAGGTGGGGGAAAGGAAGTGGGTGTTAACAAACCCAGGGACAAGGGAAAAACAAGTGATCCAAAATCAATGGTGAGGAGGGTGTAGGAGGCCTGGTTGGGCTGGATCAAGGGCAATATAACCGAGAGGAATTACTGAAAGCCAAATGAAGGCTGAGCATGATAGTGGGAC